ATAGGGGAACTGAGGCTCCGAGAGGAGAAGGGACTTGCTGAGCTGAGAATGGAGGAAGGAGGACAGAGGTCCTCAGAAAATGGACCTAAAAAGGCTCATCCCGGAGGGCCTCAAATGCCAAGCTAAGGAGTTCCTTCTTGGCCTTCTCATGATGCTCCCCAAACCCACTACGTGCCGTACCTGTACCACGCATCTTACCTGGACCCATCCCCCAGTTCAACTCAACCTCAGGCCAGGTGGTATTGGTATTGGCAGAACATTTCAGACCAGGTGACCGAGAGCTGAGTTCCTCTGCCAAGTGACGTCACTGAGGAGAGGCAGAGGCAGGATTTGCACCCAGGTCCCAACCTGGTGCCTAAGCTTGAAACCCTGTTCCACATGGATGGTGGGCCCAAGAGGAAGTGGGCCACCTCCTACTGTGACCACACCCAGCTCATGTCCACCACGGGGACTGCATGCAGGTGCCAGCCCTGGTTTGGCCCAAGTGGAGGGCACCATGCCAGACCATCCCTGGCTCATCTGGTCTCTCCAGTGGGCTCCGGGGACACACCTCACCCACGAGGCCCAGTCTGGTTTCAGGGTTTCAGGGCTGAGAGGTTTGCCGACTGAAACCAGGCAGGTGACAGCACCCTGTAGGGTGGGGCAGGCTCAGAACCTGCCCACCTGGTTCCCAGGGCAAAGGGAGCAGGTCCAGCATGGGGAGGTAAGGGAAGGAGGGGGGCACCGACCCCACCCACCCCAGAGCCGTGGGACCAGCAGAGGCAGAGTGTGGACAGGGACTCCATTTTCCCAGGTCTCAAAGTTGTCCAAAGCACCACCATCTCCATCATGTGTCTGGGACAGCAGAGACAGCTTGGGGTCCAGAGAGGTGGTGACACTCTCCTAGGGCCACACAGCACATCCAACAGAGCTGGGTTGGCATAGCCCAGCGCCTTGCCCAGGGCCTTTCTACTCACCCCTCACCTACTGTCTCAATCAACACACAATAGCAGCAGCCACTTGTCAGCACCAACTCTGTGCCCAGAATGGCACTGAACACGCACACTCGTTATTTTACGTATTGTCCCCACTTCCCAGAGGAAGTGGGGCTCAGAGAGGCCAAGCAACTTCTCCAGGGACACACAGCTTGTAAATGACATGAACTCAGAACAGGAAACCAATGTTTGGGCAAATCCATCTCACACCTGGCCTCCAGGCAGCACCAGCCCGTGGGTGGCCCTGTGGGATGGGCGGACACAGGGCTCCTGCTCAGGACCTGTAATCAGGTGGGAAGCAGCGGGGGCAGAGGGAGTAATGACAGACTCCATCAAGCAGCAGGAGGGGACCAGCAGCCCACCCACGGGAAGAGGCTGAGCCAGCAGCCAGAACCTGGCAGGCCAGGGAGGGACAGGTCAGCTGAGTATCCCCCACCCAGTCAATTCCTGTCCAGAAGGGGAACAGCAACAGAGAAGGCAAGGGATGGATCCTAGGTCCCTCCACAAGCCACCCCTGGAAGAAGGGGCACAATGGCAGATCCCTGGGATGCCCCCCTTCTGGGCCCAAAAGAAACAGGTCCTATGGGATTCCCACCCCCACCATGACCTGGCCCCCAGCAAAAGCCCAACAGGGTAAGGTAGGCTCCCCAGTGCCCAGGTGCCAGTCAAGGGGCCAGTACAGCTCCACGCAGCCTGCGCCTCTAGTCACTGCCCCCCAGACAGGCCACTCCTGTCCTGTGCCTGCTGCAGGCACCAAAATCCTGCCTACTCCATCCTGGCTGCCTCTGATCCTTCCCACACACAGGGGCCACAGGGGAGTCGTCCGAAGCTTCCTGGCTCAGAAACCTTCCAGTGGTACAGCTCCTGCTGCCTCTGGGATAGAGCTGAGCTCCTCGCCATGCCCGTGGCCCCCAAATCGTCTGGGGTCTTGCAGAGGCTGCTACCTGTGTCCAGAGCACATTCTTCTGCCAAGTTCACTCTTCAGCCCTCCACTGTGTGTCCTTCCCCTGGAAAACCACAGGTTGGGTGGGAGCCCTCCACCTATTCCCACAGCCCACCGCTGGCCTCCTGGTGGGTAAAGGTCTGTTCCTGGTATGACTCCCACAGGCAGCACCCCTGCTCCTAGGGCAGGGCCTGGCGCACAGAGGAAAAAGAAGGGAAATCCACAACAACAAGCCAGAATCTCAGGCCAGACCCACTCCCAAAACAGAGCCTCCACTGCCCTAGGGAGTGCGAAAAAGCCCTCACGCACCCCAGAGATTGCTCACCACAGAAACGGAGGCTTACCTCCGAGCAGACCCTTGGCTGGGTCCTGGGAATGAGGACATGTGCACCACACTGTCCTTCCTTGGGAAGGTGGCTGCCACCGACATTTCCCTCCCTGCTGGCCTCGGGTGCCCCAAAGGGACCCTCAGCTGGGTCACCCCTTCCCTCCTGAGGCCTTTTTTTTTTTTTTTTTGAGATGGAGTCTGACTCTATAGCCCAGGCTGGAGTGCAATGGCATGATCTTGGCTCACCGCCACCTCTGCCTCCCAGGTTCAAGTGATTCTCCTGCCTGAGCCTCCCAAGCAACTGGAATTACAGGGGCCTGCCACCATATTCGGCTAATTTTTTGTGTTTTTAGTACAGACAGGATTTCACCCTGTTGGCCAAGCTGGTCTTGAACTCCTGACCTCAGGAGATCCACCCACCTCAGCCTCCCAAAGTGTTAGGATCACAGGCATGAGCCATTGTGCCTGGTCCCTGAAGCCAGTTATGAACAAGGAAAAACCTCTTCCCATATAGACAATATCCCGCAGCACGCTGAGGGAAAGCCATGTGGCCCTGCATGTGCCAGCCCTCAGCTAGGGACTTCCAGTTCGAGATCATGCTCCACTCTTAAAATGGCGCAGGGAGGAAGGCTCTGCCACCACATCAGGAACAAAGGCACAGAACAGTTAGGGAGCCCCCACGCCGCAGCAAGTGGGTGTCGTGCTGGCTGCGGACACCTCACACCATTTGACATAGACCCTGACGAGAGCTGCAGGAAGTGGTGCAGGAATCACCCCCCACCCATCAAGACAGGCTGGAAGGTCCAGGGCCTTGTCCCAGGTCAGCCGGGAACCGAAATCCAAGCTGGAGTGTGAGCCCAGGCTGGCTGAATCTAGACTCCAGGGGCTGTGGAAACATCTGGAAGCTGGTCGGGTGAAGCATTTGTAAAGCATCTCCCTGGGCTCTGATGGTCACAAGGGACTGTGGACTCATCTGTCACCACAGGCCTGACATGCTGAAGCCCACAAGCAGGTTACAGAACCACATTCAAGATCCGAACCCTCAGCTTCCCGCCCCCACACCCTGGGCATCTCTCGCCTGCATTAGCCATTTACTACCTCCACATCTTCATCCGTGCTGCGCCCTCCAGCTGGAACACCCTTCCCTTCAATTCCACAGTTCACAATCTTAGCCAGACTTATTATTTTTTTTTTTTCTGATATGGAGTTTTGCTCTTTTTGCCCAGACTATAGTGTAATAGCACAATCTCGGCTCACTGCAACCTCCAACTCCTAGGTTCAAGTGATTCTGATTCTCCTGCCTCAGCCTCCCAACTAGCTGGGAATACAGGCATGTGCCAGCACAGCCAGCTGATTTTTGTATTTTTAGTAGAGACAGGGTTTCATCATGTTGGCCAGGCTGGTCTCAAATTCCTGATCTTAGGTGATCCACTCACTTCAGCCTCCCAAAGTGCTGGGACTACAGGCACGAGCCACCGTGCCCGGCCATGGCTGTTATCTTGGCCTTTGGTGCCGGCAGAATCCCTGCCATGGCACGTTTCCTCATTTATGGGCCAGCCACGCACTCCTAAGGTTCAAGTGATTCTCCTGCCTGAGCTTCCCAAGCAACTGGAATTACAAGGGCCTGCCACCATACCAAGATCAGGTCTAAACTATCTTTTGGACAGATGGAGAAACTGAGGCTGGGGAAATGGGGAAAAGCTGCCCAGGGTCCCATTGCCCTGTTCATGGCCCAGCTCCTCTGAGAGCAGCGTGGGGAGAAACGAGTGGGGCTTTCACACCCAGAGCAGGAAATCTGGCCTCTGGCCTTGGGGACCCTGTCTAGAGTGCTCTCCTAGCACCTTGGCCTGGCCAACTCCTCCTTCTCCTCCCCAGGCTCAAATGCCACCTCCTCGAACCCCTCGCTCCAGACAAGTCCCAGCCTCCCAGGCCTCCACACCCTCCCTGGCCTCCACTCCCACAGTCCCTGGCCGGCTTCCTGGCATCCCCCTCACCCACAGTTAATGCCTCATCTGAGATACTCCCCGCTCCTCTCCACTGTCTCCCCAGCACCGGGCTCCTGCCTGGCCCCGGGGGGGTGCCTGATAAACAAGTGCTGAACAAGTGAACAGCCTCAGGCGCCAAGCGATGGGCTGGGGCGCAGTCTGAGGGCACAGGCCGTCTGGGTCTCATCATGGAGGCAGGTCAGACCCAACAGAGCCGGGAGTCAGCCGGGGATTTTCACAAGGCCGCCTTGAAAACTCTTCTCGGTTAGCAAATATTTAACCAGGGCTGGGCCACAACAGGTCTGGTGGGGAAGAGTGAGCTTTGAGGCAAGAGGGCTGGGAGGAGAGGACAGGGCTGAGGCGGAGGCCCAGAGAAATGCCCCCAAAAAAACGGGTGACAGAAAACCCACCCACTGGGGCTGCCCTTTCCTTTACACCTCGAGGCCGCCTGAGTGGGAGGAAGTCATTCCCATCTTGACACAAACAGAAGGAAACAAAAGCCCTCTCATCCCCTCCTGCCCCCAACCCCGCCTGCCTGGCAGTGGCCCCAACCCACAGCCCACAGTGGCAGCTTGTTCTGGGAGCCCGGGATGAGGCATCCCTGACGGCTGGGAATACAGATCCTCGCTGGGGAGGGCAGCGGAGCGGGTGCAGAGGCCCCCAGCAGCGTCACCACCCAGGGTGGGACCGACACTCCAGGGGGTGGACACTTGAGTCTGCTGCCTGCAGCCCCCCACCCCCACCCCCCCCCACCCCCCCCCCCCCCCCCGACCGAGGCCACGCCCGAGGAGGAGGCTGATCTATGACAGGAATTGTGCAGACCTTCCCCTCCCTTCCCCATCCCCTCCCCTCCCCTCCCCTCACATGGAGTCGCCCATTCCTGTTGGTTTCTCAGCAACATCTCTGACCTTCATTCCTTTCTTGCCATCCTCACCACCCCCATGGGAGCCTGAGTCTCAGCCAGCCACCTGTCAAAACTGCCCCAGGCTCCAGAGGAGCATCCCCACGCCGCCTGTCCCCAGGTGCTCATAATCTCTCTGTCAGCCACGTCCAAGGCTGAGGCTGGACTGGGAACCAGGGTGGTTTGCTGTGGCTCATGCACATTGGCAGGTGACTCCTCAGGCCTGGACCCCTACCCTGGGCCTGTTTGAGACCCCACCACCAACGTTCCCCTTGGTGTCCCACCTAGAACTGGACCTTGAGATGTCCAGGAAGAGCCTGTGGTTAAGCCCTTCCCCCAGGATGTCACCAGTGTCACCACCCAGCCCTGCCCCATCAGCCAGGTCACAACCACCAGGGCAGGGCTGAGGACAGGACCCAGCCCAGATCCCATGTCCTCCATCAGCCAGCACATGCCAGGCCAAAATGGCAGATGGCAGGTGAGGTGCCAAGGTCAGAGGAAGCTCTGAGGCTTCATCACGATGGCCAAGAAAGGGTTTATGTTGCCCTCCGTCATAATCAGCAATCCCAGGTCATTGGATACTCAGGAGAGAGTACCCTAATGAGGGAGACAGATTGTCAACAAAAACTGCAATTTCTAGGATCCCCAACTGGGAGAAGCACAGGAGGTCACAGGAGCCCAGGAAGGCGACTGACCCAGCCTACAGGGTCAGGGAAGCCTCCCAGAGGGAGGCAGCAGCTGAGACACGAAGAGTCCCTGCTAGCAGAAGGAGGAAGCTGAGAAGGGAGTGTGTGCAAAGCAGAGGACCCAGGAAAAGCAAAGATTCGGACATGCATGAAAGAGTTAATCCATTCCACAAATATTTACCAGTACCTCCAAGGTCAAGAAGAACCCTTCAACAGTACAGTGTCAAGGTTCTGGAACCAGATCTCACTTCGAATCCTAACTCCATCCTTTGCTGCAACACATGGCTCAATTCTCTCTGAACCTGTTTCCTCAGCTGTAACACGGGAGTAACAGCAACCTGGCCAGGTGCAGTGGCTCACATCCATAATCCTAGCACTTTGTGAGGTCACCTAAGGTCAGGAATTTGAGACCAGCCTGGCCAACATGGTGAAACCCCATCTCTACTAAAAATACAAAAATAAGCTAGGCATGGTGGCGTGTGCCTGCAATCCCAGCTACTGGAGAGGCGGAGGCAGAAGAATCACTTGAACCTGGGAAACAGAGGTTGCAGTGAACTGAGATTGCACCACCTGCACTCCAGCCTGGCAACAGAGTGAGACTCCATCTCAAAACAGACAACAAAAAGGAAATAGCAACCTTATGATCCCCCATCTTACAGGGTGGCATAGGATTCAATGAAATGAGTAAACCCGCAGGGCCTGGACAAACGTGGGCTCGTGTTATCAATGGCAGTGATGGAACTGCTCAAAGGAGCTCCATCTGTCCCAGCGTTGGTGGCCAGACACCAGATACACATAGTCACGGTATATAGTGGCATCTCTCTCTCTCTCTCTTTTTTTTTTGAGATGAAGTCTTGCTCTGTCACCCAGGCTGGAGTGCAGTAGTGCAATCTCAGCTCACCACAACCTCTGCCTCCCAGGTTCAAGCAATTCTCCTGCCTCAGCATCCTGAGTAGCTGGAATTACAGGTGCATGCCACCACGCCCAGCTAATTTTTATATTCTTAGTAGAGACAAGGTTTTACCACGTTGGTCAGGCTGGTATTGAACTCCTGACCTCATGATCTACCCGCCTTGGCCTCCCAAAGGGCTGGGATTACAGGGGTGAGCCACCATGCCCAGCCAGTGACATCTTTCATTAGGGTTCATGGCACTTCTCTGTCGCACATTTCATGCCACACAATGGGGACCAGCAAAGGGTGACCAGAACAGCAGCTCCGTGGTCCCTCAGCTGGCAGGTCACAGGAGGAGGTGACATGCTTCGAGTTCAATATCTCTGGACCCTCGTCCCTCACACTAATCAGAAGGGAAAGTGGAGCAAGAAACATCAATGAAAACCTCTGAAAGCCAACGCCTAAACAAATCGCACACAAGACCCTGGGCAGACCATGGCCCCCTGCCCCGGGACACTGGTATGGAGGACACTCTGGCCTTGCCGCGTCTCCCTTAGCTGTTGCGTCTGTCATCAGAGATGCTGGTTGGGAAGATCAAGGGCCCTGAGTCCTCATCCAGCTCTGCTACTAACTCATATGTGGCCCTGGGCAATTTCCTCGTTCCTCCAGGACTCTGCTTCCTGTAGGCAGCCTCAGGGGATGGAGATGTCCCAAGACCAAAAATGCTTTGTTGTTGACAATTGCTGAACTCCATGAGGGCTTTCCTGCTGTCTTATATTTGTACTTCTCTCTTTTTTTTTTTTCTTGTCTTATTGCATTGACTAAGATGTCCGGATTGATGCTAATGAAAGTACCTCTGGGGTTTCAACATTACGTTTCAAACTTGCTTGGTATGTGATGAATGAAGATGTGACAGGCTGAGTACCAGGTAGGGGCTGCTCAGGGAAAGGAGGGAGGGCTTTGCTCCTCTCCCCAAACCTTAGAGTTGGATAATTCCCTGAAAAACAGATGCTGGGGAAGGTCAGCTGTAGTCATACCTGGCCAAACAGAGCCCATCCTCAAGTTATCCACAGGAGACAGACAGGATCCCAGCAAGGGCTTTCTAACTGCCTCAGATGCCCAGAATAGGGTAGGGGACCCTGGGAGGCAGGGAGTGCCTCATCACTGGAGGTGTACAAGCAGAGGCTGGAGGGTCAAAGAGTACCCACTCCAAGAGTTGTCATGAGGACTAACAATGTGTGAGGTGCACCTGTCACCCTGCCTGACTGCCAGGAAGAACCCAATAAATGCCAGCATCTGTTCCAATAAGAACTAATAACTAAAATGTGCCAGTCACTGTGGCCCAATCCCAATGGAAAAGGACTAAACTTGGATACACAAACCCCACACATTTCATTAGCCAAGCACCTCTATGGCCAACACCCTTTTCACTAAGTCCAAGTCAGGTTCTTCCCAAGCTGCCCCGTGACCCCTGCTCACCCACCACTCACACACACATGTATGTCCACACACATGCACTCACAGGTGCATGCACACACATGCACATTCACACATGTGGGTGCCCACACACAGGTATACTCACACACACGTGTACTCACACACATGCACACTTACACATGTGCACACACATATGCATGCTGCTGCCTGCAGCTTCTGGCTCGCAGGGTCTTCTCAGCAAGTGGGATTGAGGAGGGGGGATTCTGCCTTCTCAAAGCCAGGGAGGGAAAGAAGGGGGAGCAGAGAATGAGAAAGATGAGCCAATATGAAAATCCACTCATGTGCTTGCCGCTGGGCCAGAGGAAACCCAATCCCAGGCTGGAATGCCAGGGACCCTTTACGCGGATAGAAAAACGAAAGTTTATTCAAATAACAAGACTCCCTTGGTCTGTGCTCTGAGCTCGGCCAGCAGGCGCAGGGCTTGCCCCACCCTCAGGTCACTAGCTGCAGGTGTCTTTAGGCTCCAGAGCAATAATTCATTGTTCTGTGTCTATTTGCCCCAGGACAGCAGGGACCCTGTCTATCTCACTCATTACATATGCACAGCATCTAGCACAGCACTTTGTACATACATATTCATCCCCTGACTGTGTGACATTAGACCACACAGTTCAGTCTCCCTGGTGTGTTAAGACAGCAGAGGAGGATGAGGTTTTCCCAGAAAGGTTAACTCCAGCTTCAGGACAGACCCTTCCCAGCCCCAAGGGCCATATAAACCAGGGTCTCTCCAACCCCAGCATGGCCCAAGAGGCAGCATCCTTCCCACAAAGGTAGGGCTGGATTTGGGGCTGGGCCAGGCCAAGGTCACACATAAGCAGCAGAAAAGGTCACCACCCTGTCATGCAAACTAAGGTGGTCACCTAAGCTCAGATTCTCCATGTCCTCTTCCTGCTTGGATCCTGTTAACTGATCCTTCACCTGCAAAGAGCCGGGAATCCAGAGCTGGCAGATCCTGCACTTCAAGCCCCTCTGGCCCCTCTGTGCTGGGCCGATGAAAGGCCAGAGTCTGCCAGTTACTCCGCTGGGGCACATGGTCACTCTGCTTCTGTGTCCCCATTAGAAAAAGGGAAGCCAGCGATCCCTGCCCCACAAAGGACAGACGGGATGGCTTTTTAAAAAAAAAAAAAGACTTCAAACCAGGTTCGATTACACCTGTAATCCCAACACTTTGGGAGGCTGAGGTAGGTGGATCACGAGGTCAGATGTTTGAGACCAGCCTGGCCAACATGGTGAAACCTGGTCTTAACTAAAAAATACAAAATTGGCCGGGCACTGTGGCTCATGCCTGTCATCCCAGCACTTTGGGAGACCAAGGCAGGCGGATCCCCTGAGGTCAGGAATTCGAGACCAGCCTGGCCAACATGGTGAAACCCCGTCTCTACTAGAAATACAAAAATTAGCTGGGTGTGGTGGTGGGCGCCTGTAATCCCAGCTACTTGGGAGGCTGAGGCATGAGAATTGCTAGAACATGGGAGGCAGAGGTTAGAGTGAGTGGAGATTGCACCACTGCAGTCCAGCCTGGGTGAAAGAGCAAAGCTCCATCAATAAATAAATAAATAAATGACAAAATCAGTCAGATGTGGTAGCACATGCTGTAGTCTCAGCTACTTGGAAGGCTGAGGCAGGAAAATCAACAGAACCCAGGAGGCAGAGGTTGCAGCGAGCAGAGATCACACCACTGCACTCCCTCCTTCCCTCCCTCCCTCCGGCTGGAGTGCAGTGATGTGATCTGGGCTCACTGTAACCTCTGCCTCCCAGGTTCAAGCGATTCTCCTGCTTCAGCCTCCCAAATAGCTGGGATTACAGGTGCGCACACCACCATGCCCAGTTAATTTTTGCAATTTTAGTAGACAGGGTTTTACCACGTTGGCCAGGCTGTTCTCAAACTCCTGACCTCAGGTGATCTGCCTGTCTCGGCCTCCCAAAGTGCTGGGATTACAGGCATGAGCCACCTTGCCCAGCCATAACGAAATATTCTGTATCTAGTCAACAAGGAGGATGACAGGTATGTGGAGGCCCACCACCCACTATTAAGGTAGAAAAACAAATTATGTATCAGGAAAGTGCCTGAAAGTCCTTTCTGGTTGGTAGGATTATTGGTGATTTTCATTTTCTTCCTATTACTTAACTGTATTTTCCAATTTTCTTTGACTACTAGATATTGCTTATGTAACAACAACAATAATAAACGGAGGGGGGGGATGACAAAAGGGGAAGACTGGGAAAGCTCACAGTTGAAAGGTCAAGCCTCCAGGTCTGTGAGAACCTGACCTTTGGCAGATGCTGGCAGATGGGAGCCAAAGAGGGTCTGAGGGGGAGGTAAGAGCTCACCACCCAGCAACCTGATCTTGGACCATCCTGTCCATCAAGTTCAGACTGCTGAGACTCCTCCAGGACGGCAGAAGTCCCCTGGCTGGGTACTGAACCCCGAGGACAGAAACTCTTTTCCTGAGCGTTTGCTGTATGCCAGGTACCAGGGTGGCCCCCACGTAAAATTCACAACAACTCTCTTGAAGGTATCTGCAACCACCTCCACACTACAAATGGGTAAGGAGAGGCAGAGAGCTTGATGACCTCCATGAGGTCATCATGGAAACAGGCAGAGGGGAAGCCCTAAGCACTGCAGAAAGGGGTCCTTGTGCTCAGCCTCGTGTAGCACATGCCTCTGACCACCCAAGTTCTATGGCAGGTACCAGCATTCCATGCACATTACCCCAGGAACCTGGAGCTCTGTCTGGCCTGAAGGCCTGTCTTGCTCCGTTGCCCAGGCTGCAGAACAGTGGCATGATCCAGCTGACTGCAGCCTCAACCTCCCAGGCTCAAGCAATCCTCCCACCTCAGCCTCCCATATAGCTGGGACTATAGGCTTGTACCACCATGCCTGGCTTTTTATTTTTTAATTAGCAGGGACACCTCCAGGCTGGAGGTCTGAAGGGTCATAGGCTTTCCCAGTGGGACAGGACCCAACCACTCCTCACCATCCCAATGCCCCCACCCACACTCAGCCTTCAGCACTGATCACAGAGAGAGACTCAGTATTTGTGGAATCCATCTGCCATCTCTGGGCTAAACTATTGCAACCTCATCTGCTCACAGCCATTGGGGGCTCACAGGCTGGCCACATAGAAAGAGCCTAACACGAGTTTGTTACTCTCTTGCCCTTGTTGCAGAACTTAAGTCCTCATTCTAAAGTCCAGCTAACAAGTGTTTATGAGAAGCACTCCCCACTCCCAGCCCTCTGCCTGGCGTTCAAGGCTGCGCTCAGCTCCCTGCCTTGAATAAGCAAGGGTCTATGCTAGGCCATGCCCCCTTGTCACCCTTACCCCAACTCTGCTGGATAAAATCCCTCCTGCTCTCCAAGATTCAGCTCAAACACCTCTCTTCCAGAATTTTCTCTGCCCTCTTCCCCTCTCTGTGCTTGCAACCCCCTTGGGGCTCTGGTCAGGCCAGCATGGCTTAGATTCTGAAGTCAGACAGGAATCAAATTGTTCCACTAAATACTGTCAATAGAGTTATTATTCTTCTTTTTTTTGAGGCAGGGTCTTGCTCTGACACTTGACTCACTGCAACCTTTGCCTCCTGAGTTCAAGCAATCATCCTGCTTCAGCCTCCCGAGTAGCTGGGACCACAGGCATGTGCCACCATACCAGGGCTAATTTTTGTATTTTTAGTAGAGATGGGGTTTCACCATGTTGCCAGGCTGGTCTCAAACTCCTGACCTCAGGTGATCCGCCCACCTCAGCCTCCCAAAGTGTTAGGATTACAGGCCACAGTGCCCAACCAGGTTATTCTTTTTGATTTAACATACTTACTGTTAAAAAAAAAAAAAAAATCAGGAGAGATTTAAAAAGTTTAAATAATCCATTATCCTGCGACCCCAAAATAATCTCTATTTATATTTTGGTGAATTTCTTTCCTTATTTTGTTCTATGCCAATACAAACATACACCCTTCCAAACATACAAAAAGGAATCATCACTTGTAATGGCTACATATTATGCCATTGAACAATGCCTATTAATACACTATTTCCATTCCATACCCCCCCATGCTATAATGTAACTATTTTGTTACTTAATGGGGTACGTTCTAGGTGTGAAATATCCCGGTAGGTTTCTCCCAGAGCTTTGGGCCACCTTTCTGATGTCCCATGTATTGGTGGAGGGAGAGGGGAGGGGATGAGACCCTCACCAGCCCCCATTTCTTGCCTTTAGAAGGTCCCAATACTTTAGTCACAGTAGTTTCTGGGACACACATATTTCTATCTAGGGACACATAAAGGAGGGATTTCAGGATGACAAACCCAGTTTTCACTGCAGTTCCATAGTCCCCAGGCTAAAGCCCGATGCCAGCCCACCCACCCAGAACCATGGGGGGCCAGTGGCAGACCCCAGGCCTCCTGAACAGCACATGTCGGCAGGGAGCGGCAGCCCATGCCTGTAATCCCAGCACTCTGGGAGACCAAGGTGGACATATCACTTGAACAGCACACCTCTAAGACGGGCGACAAGATCCTGAGGCCCAGCTGGGGATGGGACTTGCCCCAGATCGGAGCCTGCTCCCCCACCCATTCAGTGGGCTGTGTGTCCTCTTCTGTGATGGGAGAGCAAACCACAGGTACTGCTGGGGAGATCCCAGGACACATGAGCTCCCAAGGAAGAGTGGCCATTTCTTTATAGCAATTTGCCCTCCGGTAATGATTTTAATAAATGACTGAGTGGTGTTTGGTGTGTCTCCTGCTTAGCCAAGAGTCTGCCAGGGCAGGACCTGGGCGAGTTTGACTGGGCTGTTTCAGTCACACCAGCTCAGATCCAAGCCCTGGGTGGGCCCTGAGTGGGTGCCTACCCCAGGCCTGACACACAGGGGGTCAGTGGGGCTGCCAGGACCAGGGCCCAGTTGTCCCCCCCACCGTACCCCCACCCCTCCATCTTGCCTGTCACACTTAGGAGCTGCAGAAGGGCCAGGAACAGAGAGGAACCCAGAGAGAGGGCTGGCCCATCCAAGAAAGACTCTCTACCCGCCTCACCCTCAGGGCTCAAGGACAAGAATGAAGGGCTGGAAGCCAGTGAGTCACGCTTTGAGGAATATAGGCGGGAGGAAGGAAGCTGTGGATGGCCACACTCACTTGGTGCCTGCGGGTCTGAGACACGGAGGGGCCCAAACCACTCCTTCCACAAGGGCAGGGGGGATGTCACCATCCCAGGCCCCGCCTACATCTGGCCTGCCCCTCTGTAACCACCACAGCTCCCCCTCCCCCCCACACACACACATTTTGCACCTACCAGGCCCTTCATCCAGAGAGCTTTGGGGTCCCTGTGCTCCCAGGATGTAGGACTTTGCAATGGCATGCTTGCATGCATTCATTCATTCCTCCTAGGGGACTAAAACAATTTGCACTAATAAATGTTCATTACAGTTATTACTCCTAAGCATTTCTTGTGCTTTACACACATAATTTATAGATCCAGTAGAGAAGTATTATCATGCACATTTTACAGCTAATGAAACTAAGGTATAAAGCGTCCCGGCACCTGACCTAGGGGCACTTGTTCAGTTGCTGGTGGAGCAAGTCTGAGCTGTGAGCCACCTGTCCACCTCAGGGGAGCCCAGAGTGAGCCCTCAGGTATTCGTATCATAGGTAGGAATTAGAATCACAACCATGAGCTGCGTAATCCCAGCACTGTGGGAGGCCAGGCAGGAAGACTGCTTAGCTCAGGAGTTTGAGACCAGCCTGGGTGACACAGGGAAACTCATCTGTACAAAATATAAAAATAAATTAGTCCCGTGTGGTGGTGTACACCTGGGGTCTCAGCTACTGGGGAGACTGAGGCAGAAGGATTTCGGGAGCCTGGGAGGTCAAGGCTACAGTAAGCTATGATTGCACTACTGCACTCCAGCCTAGGTAACGGAGCAAGACTCTGTCTCAAAAAAGAAAAAGAAAAAAGAATCACAACCATGTAAGAAGGGCTACAGGTTCACACAGGTAACCAAGGGGTTGTGGGAGACTGGAGGAAGAGCCTGATTCAGCCTGCCAGGTGTGGGGCTCCTGGCTGTAGGGCTTGGGCTGTGAGGACATTTCAGGGTCTGGACTTGACCTTGAGGGCACAGGATAGACTGGAAGGGTCAATCTGAAGGAGGGTGACATATGGTAAATAGCAAGGTCACTCTATTACCAGAGGCTCTTATCCAACCCCTCTGTTGAACCATAGGGGAAACTGAGGCCTGCAGGAGAGGTAGGAGTCACCCAAGGCCACAGAGGTCTGAGGCTAAACCGGCCTCCGACCTACAGAGCTGGACTCCCAGAAGCCACACAGGGAACTGCAGAAAGAGGGGAGGGAGGGCAGGGGCCCAGCCCGAATCACACAGGAAGTCTGCCAGACCCCACCTGGGGGCCTCCAGGCAGAGCAAGCCGCCCAGCCCCCAGCCTGCAGGGCAGGCACCAGAAACAGCTCCTCTGGGATTCTGCCACAATCTCAGCAGGAAGACAGGAAAGCTGAGCTGGGCAGCCTGCTACAGCCGGGCCAGGATTGGAGGTTTGGCCTCCCAGGACCAGGCCCACTCTCAGGTCACTGAGAAAGTCACTCTTCTGCTCCGAGAAGGGCCCCTGCCTCTGGCCAGAGAGAAATGAAGAGTTTCTGTGATCCCACTTGGCCTCGGGTCAGGGTGAGAGAAAGGGCTCAGTGTATTCAACTGGTTGGCTCAAATCTTCCCCATCCTGCCATCCTCCTTGAGAGATGGGGTCCCCTCCACTCTAGAGATGGGAAACTGAGGCCCAGAGGAGAGATGCCCCTGGACCAAGGTCACGTAGTGAGCTGTGACTATCCCAAGCTGGGCCAGGAGGGCTGACCCTGGGCGAGTCCTCAGGGGTCGGCCCCCACCCCTTTGGAAGGAAGGGCTCCCCTTTCCCCCTCCCCTTTTCCTGGCAGCCTGAAATATAGGAGTGGGGGTAGGAGGGGAGTGTGGCTTCGGCTTTTCCAGTCTAACACAGCCCCTCACTGTCTGTGTGTAGACAGGCCTGCGCTGCCTCCTCAGACACAGGCCCATCTGTGAGGCCCGCACAGGGCCTGCTTCTCTCCTGGAGAGCTTGTTTGTTTACCCAGTTCTCATAATTATAAGTTCTGCAGCCCCACCCGGCCCAATCATTCCTTCCCTGACCATCTTCTGCCGTCTGGGGCACACTGCATGGGTGCCGGGGGCTGGGAGTAAGAAGTCAGAGGGAAAAGCTTCATGCTGGGGTCAAGGCTCTGCGTGCCGGCCAGGCTCTGCAGCCACTGAGAGCACAGGCATGTCCCTTCTTCTTCCTGGGCCTCAGTGTACTCGGACATGAGAAAAACGAGGGGATTAGTTAGAGGATCTCATACGGTCCTCGTGGGCTAGGAGGAGGAAAGTTCTGGGCCTGAAAAAGAAAGCAGACAGTTCCCATCAGCACCTCAAAATCAAGGCGGGGCTGTGGGAGGTGCAGCGGGGTGACAGGGAGACACCTCCCCCAGCCCACCAGGGCCTGCTCTTCCCAAAGCTCAAGCTCAGCTCTCTTTTCTTCCCTTCGCCTCCCAGAGAACACTGCTCTCAAAAAAAGCAAAACCAAAAAGCAAAACAGAAGCAATTGTCAGCTCCCTCCTCCTCTAGATGCCTGAATCACCCCTTAAATCTCTGACAGGCCAGGCAAATGGCACACAGCTCCCCTAAGAACTCAGCTAAAACGCAATTGCCAGCCGGGCACAGTGGCTCACTCCTGTAATCCCAGCACTTTCGGAGGCCGACGTGGGCAGATCACAAGGTCAGGAGTTCGAGACCAGCCTGACCAACATGGTGAAACCTCATCTCTACTAAAAGCACAAACATTAGCCAGGTGTAGTGGTTGGCACCTGTAGTCTCAGCTACTCATGAGACTGAGACAGGAGAATCGCTTGACTCCAGGACACGGCGGTTGCAGTGAGTTGAGACCACACCACTGCACTCCAGCCTGAGTGACAGAGCGAGACTCCATTAAAAAAAAAAACAAAACAAAACAAAACAAAAAAAACGCAATTGCCATTTACTGAGAATGCTCCACAGGCCAGGAACTGTGTAGTGCACCCATCACAAAGGCAGGGAGCACCAGTCACATCTCAGTGACAGCTGGAGCTGCGAGGAGGAGAGCTGAGTGCCAAAGGCCACACAGCTTTCAGTGTTGGAAGCATCCTGCCACCCGGTCAAGGCCAGACATGCTGCTTCTAGAGATGGGCCGACTGAATACTGAAACCAACATGCACTCTGGGAAACATAAAGATCCATGGGCTTTTTAACATGAGCCACGGCACATCCAGCTTGATGGAACCTTCTTAGCTGGCACGAGCTCCATGAGATCAGGGCTCATGTCACTGCTTCATCCCCAGTTCCCAGCTCAGGCCCAGGCACAGGACAGCTTTCAGAGCAAGCTCTTCCTTCAACAGCAAGATCGCCTCCTGAAATCTGCACCTGCTCTGTTGCCTTCAGTGCAGCCCAGGGCCCACAGGTGCCCAAGAGGTCAGAGCTGGAAGAGCATGCCATTGCACAGATAGGCAAAGTGAGGAGGAGGCATAGAGAGAAGGAAGGACTTGCCAAAGGTCACCTGGCACCCATCCTGGGGAGCCTACACCCATCAGTGGCTCCTGGCAGGTGGAGTAAATCAGAGGTGAGTGGAGCACGGGTGGGTGGGTGGCTTCTTCCCAACAGACTTCTCTTCGAGAAGGTGCTAAGCTTCACAAACTTGGCTGGACACAAATAGCTCTGCTCAGCATGGGAAAGACAGACAGCAGTTGCAATTGGCTTGGCCACAGATGGTTGGGTGGGGAAGTGTCTGCACTTTGCAAACCACACTTTATTCTTCCTCCCCTCCTGGATGCCTAGTTACCCCCTGGGCCTCCACCCAGCACCCTGGCCCACACCTGGCACTTCTGATCTGCAAGAGAAGGGCCTCCCTTGGCCAATGTCCTGTGTGAAACATAACATAACAGTAACAGCGGATGAACCAGGAGCTGACGTTCCCTGAGTGTGAAAAGCTCTTCACATCATCTCATCAACCCTGCACAACCACCTCGGGGGTCTGGGATGCTGTTGTGCCCACTTTACAGATGAGGAATTTGAGGTCCAGAGAAGGGAAGGCAGCTGCCAAACGACAGGGCAGTCCTGATAGCATCTCAAAACCAGGCTCTCTGACTCCCAGCCTCCCTCCCTCCCTCCTTGCTTTCCTTCCTTCCTTCCTTCCTTCCTTCCTTCCTTCCTTCCTTCCTCCCTCCCTCCCTCCCTCCCTCCCTCCCTCCTTTCTTTCCTTCGTTCTTTCTTTCTTTTTTTTTTTTGAGACGGAGTTTCGCTCTTGTTACCCAGGCTGGAGTGCAATGGCGCGATCTCGGCTTACCACAACCTCCGCCTCCTGGGTTCAGGCAATTCTCCTGCCTCAGCCTCCTGAGTAGCTGGGAGTACAGGCACGCGCCACCATGCCCAGCTAATTTTTTGTATTTTTAGCAGAGACAGGGTTTCACCATGTTGACCAGGATGGTCTCGATCTCTTGACCTCGGGATCCACCCACCTCGGCTTCCCAAAGTGCTGAGATTACAGGTGTGAGCCACCGCGCCCAGCCTCTTTCTTTCTTTTTTTAAATTTGAGCTCTGTCACTCAGGCTGGAGTGTAGTTGGATGCTCACTGCAACTTCCACCTTCCAGGTTCAAGCGATTCTCCTGCCTCAGCCTCCCAAGTAGCTGGGACTACAGGCATGCACCACCACCCTCAGCTAATATTTGTATTTTTGGTAGAGATGGGGTTTCACCATATTGGCCTGGCTGGTCTCGAACGCCTGACCTTGTGATCCGCCCACCTTGACCTCCCAAAGTGCTGGGATACAGATGTGAGTCACCGCATCTGGCCAGGCTCCTGCTCTGCCCTTGAAGGAAAAGAAAGTTCTCGTTTTGAGGGCTGCCTGGGAAGGGAATGAGTTTCCTGTCACTGGAGGAGTGGGAGCAGACGCTACAGGACCAGTGGTTGGAGGTCTGCCTTAATAAAACAACCTACAGAATCCATACAGGTTTTCCTGTAGGCCAAGAATCATGGACATCAGCTCGCCCCAGCCCTGCACAGCACCATCATTGAGGCCTGGCCATGCCACGCCCCTGTACACACATGTCCCTCACTGCACCTGACCCCTACCCCCACAGGTCTAGTGCCTCCTACCATGGGGTTCACATCGCTCATGCAAGCTGACCCACTGGTGCCACTTCTGCCTGAAAATGCCTCCAAGGCCTCCCTGGGGCCCTCAGGACAAAGGTCCCGCCTCACCAAGGCCAGCCCTGTGGTTCTTCCCTTTACCTCCCATCCTGAGTCCCAGCAAGCTGGCCTACCCCAGGCCAGTCTCTCTTACACCTTCCCGAGGAAGGCCTTTCCCTTTGGGAACATTGCCTGCCCTGAGGAGGGACAGTCAGCCAGGAAGCACCCACAGGCAGGCACCATGTGAGTATGCATCTGCGTGTCCCTCCTGCCCAGCACAGTGCTGCGCACATAGTAGGTGTTCAATAACTATCAACTGAATTAATACAAGAAAAAAGGACTCCGTGTGTCGGGGGCCAGAGCTCATCACACCCCTTGATGGTCTCATGGGCATACACCTCTCTGTCTACATAGAGGCCCAGCCCTGCCTTTGGAAGGCATCTTGAGACCCCTACCAAGGGTTTTCAGAGGCAGAGAATTCCCAAGAGTAGATACTGGTATTGAGGTCACAGACGGGGAGAAAAGCCACAGAGAGGTATAGTCATTGGTCCAGAGTCACACAGCAGATGGTCAATGGGACCAGGCTTAAGGCTTACAAGTCTAGTTCTTAACACACAGCTAGGCAGGGAGGGAGCATGTTCCCATCCATCTTTTTACCCTTTTCCTCTGTGTACTTCCAAATCCCAGGCATAGAACGGATGTTGCTGCTGAAGGACTGACGTTGCTGTAACCACATCTCTATCCCACCAGCCTCCAAGTACACACTAAATACCCCAGGTGTCCAGGCCCACAAGCTGGTGCTCCTCTGACCTTGGAGGGAAAGAAGGTTCTCATATTCAGGGCTGCCTAGGAGGGGAGTGGGTCATGTCGACTTCCTGGAGCACATGGCAGGGAGCAGGGGGTGCATGAGGCCACAGGACAGACCTGGCACATCTCCCTGGGTGCCAAGTTAGTGCAATGAACAATCATAACAGCTGCCACTCATGTATTGTCACCTCCCACCCACACTGTGCTGCACCGACTAGGTACTTGATCCTCACACCTTAAGATACCAGAACTAACATCCTCTTATATGTGGGCTCTAAGGCTCAGAGAGGGTGACTGACTTGTCCCCAAACACCTGTCCATCCAGTGTCAGAGCCAGGACTCGAACCCAAGCAGTCTGACTGCAAAGCCTTGCCCCAAAATCTCTGGGCTCCCTGCTTCTTCAAGCTTACCATCCACTACATAACCAGGCAGGCCCCTTCACCTTCGTGGGCCAGAATCAGCATTGCTCCAAAAACGGGACCAGTCCCAGGAGGTAGATACTTCCTGTTCTTCTAGTTTTAAAAATTTGTGAGATCAAAAGATTGTAGTCTTCCATGACTCAGGCCCTAAGATTCTACCAGGAGAAGAGAATGGCTTTGCTCCACCCTCAAGGGTTTTAAACCTAGGCATCCGCCTGGACTCCTTCCTTAAACTTCTGCCCAGCAGCATCTGCAGAATACCATTCTTCCTCTGGCAGAGAAGTGGATGGGGGTGGGGCAGGGAAGGAAAAAGCAGTGCAGGAATTTCTGCAACCGCAGGATGATGCTTGCAGGAGTCCCGGGTGGAGTGAGTCATGAGCTCTGCCCGCGGCAAACGAGGAGGGGGGCGCAGGGAAGGAGAATGTGGCTGGTCAGAGAGGCCATGAGTCTCAGACTGAGTAATGATGGGTGGGATAGATTTGTGCAACCTATAGGAGCCTGACACAGCCACTCTGTTTCCACTTGGCTCCTCCTCCCACTTCCTCTCCTGGCTTCCAAAAGCCTGCCTCTCTTGGAGGCCTTTTTCACAGTGTCCCCCTGCCCAATCTAGGCACCACAGATGACAAGGGCATTTAGTTTAAATAGCTAAGGCCTTGGACTACCGGGCTCAGGCCTACCACTGACGTGCGGATTCAATGAGACAATACAGACAAAGGAAGATCTGGCACATAGCAAGTGCTCAGTTAAACTGCTGCTAATCCTACAGTTATCACTCAGAGCCTGATGACTGCCCCTCCCTGTTCCATCAACCATGTCTTCAGACAGAAAATACATCCATCCCTACACATCACAGGCTAGACTACATGGCTATACGCCCAGAGCCCATGGTCATCAGTCCTGTCCCCAGCTCACAGGCAGCCCCTTCAAGCCCACTAGCCCCCAAACGATGCTCAGAGATGTCAGGAAGGAGCTTCCCTCTAAACACCCAGGTTGGTGGAAGCAGAGTAGAGGAAGAGTTGGGCGGGGACATGAATTAGCCTTCGGCAGGGCAGTTGATCAGAGCCAAAAACAAAACACACACAGTGGCTCTGTTTGCCCCTAAAAACCAACACGTGAGAAACAACCTAATGTCCAGCATTAGGGAAAAAGCTGAGAAAATGTCCCTCTCTGTCCTCAGATGGAATAAAATGCAGCCTTTGGGGATGCTTCCAAGGAGGTTTTAATGACCTGGGAGACATGTTTATCATAAATCATGTGGTGAAAGCAGCAAGACACAAACTTGAGTCACGGTCCGGCAAAGTCGAACCATCGACGCAAACGGGAAGTACTCCCAGAGGATGAAGTGGTTATCGCAGGATGGAGGCTGAGTGGTTCCTATTCCTGTTTTTCTGCTTCGATCCTCAGGCAACAGGGAGGGCAAACGTGACCCAGCTTGGGTTTAGAAAGGTCTCTTTGGCAGTGTGCGTGTGTGGGAAGGACTAGAGGCTCCGAGGAGGCTGGGGCAGCTCCCAGTAGGCAAGGCCAGCACTCAGGCCACAGCAGTGAGAAAGGAACAGAGTCTGGGGGACTGGAAGAGGGGAAGGCAGGGTCAAAGCCAACAAAAGCATGTTATGTAAGACCCAACAGAGACAGCAGCATCCCCAGATGCTCTATCCCAACGGTCTGACCTGGACCTTGGCTGAGGGCAGCCGCCCAGGCCCAGACACTGCTTCTGGCCAGCCTGGCCTCTCTGCAAAGTCCAGGAGAGTAATGAGGAAGCCATGCAGCAGGGCGAGTGGTGGCAGAAGGCAGAAGCCCTCCACCCCTTCACTCCTGGCACCTACAGCCACTTCCCCAATGTTGAGAGGTAGACTTTTTTTTTTTTTTTCCAAGACAGTCTCACTCTGTCACCCAGGTTGGAGTGCAATGGTCACTCTGTCGCCCAGGTTGGAGTGCAATGGCACGATCCCATCTCACTGCAACCTCTGCCTCCCAGGTTTAAGCGATTCTTGTGCCTCAGCCTCCCATGTAGCTGGGACTACAGGCATCCACCACCATGCCCGGCTAATTTTTTAGTAGAGATGAGGTTTCATCATGTTGGCCAGGCTGGTCTCAAACTCTTGACCTCAGGTGCTCTGCCTGCCTCAGTCTCCCAAAGTCCTGGGATTACAGCCATGAGTTACCACGCCCAGCAGAGAGGTAGGTTTTTAAAATCACTTTGGCAAAAGGCATTATTTGTTTTGCTCAATAAATAAGTGAGACACCCTTCTTCTCATATCTGGTTGTCAAAAGGATGAAAATGCTCAGTGCTAAGGTCCCCTTGGCAGGAGTGTCAAACACCTGCTGCCTTGTTAAAGGCCATGTGTCCATCTACCAAAAGGTTACCCAGGCTGGGCATAGCGGCTCATGCCTGTAATCCCAGCACTTTGGGAGGCCAAGGCAGGTGGATTACCTGAGGTCAGGAGTTCAAGACCAGCCTGACCAATATGGTGAAACCCCATCTCTACTAAAAATACAAAAATTAGCTGGGCATGGAAGCAGGCGCATGTAGTCCCAGCTACTCGGGAGGCTGAGACAGGAGAATTGCTTGAATGCAGGAGGCAGAGGTTGCAGTGAGCCAACATAGCACCACTGCACTCCAGCCCGGGCAATCAGAGCTAGACTCCGTCTCAAAAAATAATAAAAAAAAAGGTGACCCAGGAGTTCTATTTCAGGGCCTCTCCTATATGGAATATTATAGGAGGTTCAAGCAGCACCGTGAATACTAGCAAAACACTGGAAACAACCCAAATGCCCACTCACAGGGGGCTGGGTAAACGAACCATCCATGCACAGGAATGAACTCATCAAGAAAAGACCGAGGTAGTCCTGTGTGTTCTGACACAGAAAGAGGGCCCCCAATTTACCAAGTGAAAAAAATCAAACCACAGAAGCATAGAATAAGATCTATTTTTTATAGGCTGGGTGTGGTGGCTCACGCCTGTAATCCCAGAACTTTAGGAGGCTGAAGTGGGCGGATCACAAGGTCAGAAGTTTGAGACCAGCCTGGCCAACATGGTGAAATCCAGTCTCAATTAAAAATACAAAAATTAGCCTGGCATGGTAGAGCATGCCTGTAATCCCAGCTACTTAGGAGGCTGGGGCAGGAGAAGCACTTGAACCTGGGAGGCAGAGGTTGCTGTGAGCCAACATGGTGCCACTGCCCTACAGCCTGAGCAACAGAGTGAGACTCTGTCTCAAAAAAAAAAAAACAAAACTCTTTTTATAAACCAAAGTACTGTGAGCATGTACAGAGAGAGGTAGGTTTGGAAACAGTGACACACCACACTTAAGTGATTACTTCTGGGGAGTGGGATTCAAGGAAGAAAGATGGAGGGTGCTTTCGTTTTTTACTTTATCCTCCTACATTGTTTGTATGTGCATTACTTTTGCTCAGGCAATCCTTCCAACTCAGCCTCCCACGTAGCTGGAAGCCCAGGCGCACACCACCATGCCCAGCTAATTTTTTGTATTTTTACTAGAGACGGGGTTTTGCCATGTTGCCCAGGCTGGTCTTGAACTCCCGAGCTCAAGCAATCCACCCTCTTCGGCCTCCCAAAGTGCTGAGATTAAGGCGTGAGCTACCCCCCTGGCCTGTGCACACATTACTTTTGCAATTAGACAAAATGTTCGGTGGGTGCCTAGAGTTGGGAAGGACTGGGAAGAAACAGGAGCGCTACTAAAGAAAGAGCAGGGGATTTCTTTCAGGGCTGATGAAAACACTAACTCCCCACAGGTGGCAATGGCTGCACAATTCTGTGAATATACTAAAAACCATGGAAATGTACACTTTAGGTGAGTGAATTGTATGGTAGGCAAATTATGCCTCAATAAACCTGTTATTTTTGGCTGGGTGTGGTGGCTCACCCTGTAATGCTGGCACTTTGGGAGGGTGAGGTAGGTGGATCACCTGAGGTCAGGAGTTTGAGACCAGCCTGACCAATATGGTGAAACCCCCATCTCTACTAAAAATACAAAAATTAGCCAGGCATGGTGGTGTGTACCTGTAACAGGGGACTGAGGCAGGAGAATTGCTTGAACCCAGGAGGTGGAGGTTGCAGCAGGCCGAGACTGTGCCAGTGCCACTGCACTCCAGCCTGGGAGAGAGAGCCAGACTCTGTCTCAAAAAAATAAAATAAAATAAAAAAGATGTTACTTCAGGGACAGGAAGCTCCCAACTGTAATCCTAGCACTTTGGGAGGCCAAGGCTCCCAAAGGAGGCTTGCTTGATCCCAAAGGATTGCTTGAACCCAGGAGTTCAAGACCAGCCTGGGAAACACAGAAAGACCCTGTCTCTCTCTCTGTCTCTCTCTCTCTCTCTCTCTCTCTCACACACACACACACACACACACACACAGAGCTAGGCATGGTGGTGCAAAGCTATAGTCCCAGCTACTTGGGAGGCTGAGGTGGGAGGATTGCTTGAGCCCAGGAGGTTGAGGCTGCAGTTAGCTATGACGATGTCACTGCACTCCAGCCTGGGTGACAGAGCAAGACCCCGTCTCAAAACAAAACAAAACAAAAAGATGTTAGTCCATGTTTGCAGGGGTTGTACTGGAACCTTGAGCTCGCTTCAGTCTGGGGGAGATTTGGAGGGAAAATTTAGGATTGTTAGGCCCTCAGAGCTGAAAGTAACTTCAGCCATTGAGTAACCCACCCACTTGGGTTCACAACAAGGGAAACCCAGACTCAGGGAGAGGAAAAGTGGCCTGCCCAAGGATCCTCAGGCCTCCCTGCTCCCGGGCCAGTGCTTCTTCCTCTCCGCCTGCTCCCTCATATAAGGAGGAGGGAGTCACCCTCCCACCAGCCCCACAGGGCTCCCAGTGTGGAAACAAGCCTCTGCTTGCCAGGGGCTTTGAAATCCCAGGATGAAAGGTGCCGTGGCAGCAAAACAGCACCGTGGCCAGGAGCACGCCTGACCTTTGCCAGGACTTGCACACAGGCTGGCATTCACCTGCTCACCTGCTCGGGGTGGGCATGAAACTGCAGGTCGAACCTCAGAGCCCTAGCAGGCCTGGGAGCTCAGAGCACTGTGGCAAGGGATGTTCCTAACTCTGACATTTTTACTGGGGCAGAGAATAAGGTCTCAGGTAGGGAGGGCTCTGCAATTTTAATTGCAGGCTTGAGAGAACCTCCAGCTCCTTGGGTGGGGTGAGGAAGGTGCATGGACGACTGGAGGTGGCAAAGACATGCCCTCATTCCCCTCCAACCGGGATTCTAAGGCAGCTCACTTCCTCTGGAGGAGGCTGGAGGATTCCCGGCAGCCCACTTCCAACCCCCCCCCCACCTCCACATTAGGAACTCCCCACAGGTGAGCCTGAACCAGGAATTTGAGGCATTTAAAGAGGGTTATAAATAGCACTGAAGTGTTGAGAAGAGAGAGGCTAGCAGGCTCTGAGTGGGCACACCTTCCATCCAGCCTGATATCCAGAAAACAAATCCAACTCTCTCCAGTAAAGGACACATCACCTGTTGTCTCAGTCCCCTCCCCTGTAACACGCCAGGGGACAGTGGGTGGGCTGGCAATTCTCAGCCCAGGAGACAGGAAGACAGGCAGGCCCAGCACTGGGGATGAGGAGAGGAAAAACCCCACCTAACGCACGGTACACCCCACCAAGGCCCCTCGAAGGGCCTCAACAGGAGGTCCTGAATGGTAGGACTGTTGAAGCGCCCCAGGAGGTGGCCGCAACAGGGAGGGAACAGGAAGACTCCTCCCTGGCCATTCCTCCTACCAGAGTCCAGGCCTGGTGGGACAAGGAGACTTTCCAGGACTTAACCCCGCACTGGTCGGAGGCTAGAGAGTCTGATTCACTTTCACATCACCCCAATCGCCCCTGTGCCCAGCTGGCTCCAGGCCTGGCACAAGGGAGGGACTCGGACCTTGGGACTTGGCTCAGGACCAGTCACCCGGCAGGCCTCCCCAGCTCCTCCCTGTGCCCAGCATGGGTGGGGCCCTGGAGACATGGAGTTAAAGGACACCTGGCCACTGCTCTCAGGGCCTCCGGCTCTCAAGGGAGCATGAAGAACACGGTGATGAAACTCTAAAGGGCACGAAAGTAAGTGCAGGCGGACGCGGTGCTCAAGGTCTTCTGGACATCGAGAGGCGACCCACCTGAACCGTCACCCCAACTATCAGTCCCTCTCCTATGCCAGCCCTGTGCTAGGCAAGCCAATGAGTTACCCCACATAAGCCTCCCAACAAGTCACTAATAAGAAAGAAATCACTGACCCCATTTCAAAGAGGAAAAAAACAAGGTATCCAAAACAGATGTCTGGGAAACAAATGCTGGGATTCCACCCAGGGCAGCTCCACCAGCCGGGAGAGCTCGGCCAGAGTGGAGTTTCTCAGGCAGCCGAGGTCCTCATCCTCCTATCTCCCCCTCCTCCAGAACCTATGGGGAAAACGCCTCTGCTGCAGCTCCAGCTTCCCCAGGAGCCTTGGGGACAGCTGTCCTTGGGGAGAAGTGGCCACTGTGCAGTAATAGGCTGAGCAGGTCTGGGTGAAAGGCGGCGCTGAGAGGGCTGGCGACTGGCCCTGAGGGCCCCCACTCTGGTGACCAGTCCCCTGGCCCCTGCTGCCTGCGCCAAAGGACATGGAACCCCACCGCCTCCAAGGCGCCCCAACGATCCCTGGCCCCACTCCCCAGGATCAGTCCCGGCCTTCAGTGGCCGGTCCTCAGGAAGCCTCCGCCACGTGTACCAGGGCTGGCTGGGGACGAGACGGCTGGGGAGAAGACGAGCGCGTGCTGGCTGGGTCCGGGAGATCCCAAAGCGGGTAGCGGATGGGCTTGGAACCGTTCTGGGCAGGGACAGTCAAGGGTGGGCGGCAGGCTGCGACCCCTATCCCAGCTCGGCCAAGGGTCGTGGGCTGGGGGTCTGCAAAGCCTGGGCTCCCAAGAGGTTCCAGGAGATAAGCGGCTCCAAGTCCTCTTGAGCCGGGAAAGGTGGAGCCCACAAGGGCGCAGGAAGGGGCTCCCAGGCTCGGAGGGAATGAGCTCGAATGAGGGGCAGGCTCCCCGGCCGCTCCCGCCCGCCCGGCCTGACTCTCCGGATCCCCCAGCCCCGGCGCCGACGGGGTGGGGGCGTGGTCCGGGGGTTCCGGCGGGACCCCCGGCGCGCGCGGCGCGGCGCGGCGCAGCCCTCACCTGCGATGTGCTGGCGCCGGGCGTCGTCCAGGTGCGTGGACAGCACGTCGCCCATGGCCGGGAGGAGTCGCGGCCCGATCCGCCGCCGCCGCCACTGCTGCCCGCGCTGCTCAGGCGGACGCCTTTGGCGCCATGGAGCCCCGCCCGCCCTGCTCCTGCCGCTCCCGCCGCTCCCGCCGCCCCGGCTGCGGCTTCCGCTTCGGCTCCGCTCCCACTGGGACCCAGTCCCTCCCGCCGGCAGCCTCGGCCCCTTCTCTGCCCTCGGCGCTGCACCCCTGCGCCCCGCCAGGCCCCGCCCGCGGCCCTACACCCCTCCGCCCGCCGCGCCCCTCCCCGCCCCTGCCCCGCCCCGCCCCGCAGGCCGGCCCCGCCCTCTCCGCGGCTTCGGGAGGGCGGGGCACAGGGGCCGGGGACAACCGGGACCGCCCGGCAGACAAAGAGAAGGTCCCAGAAAGGGAGACTGCGGAGAACGCGCCCGCCCTAGACCTAAACGAAAACAGAGACGGGGCTGGTGGGAGCATCTGAAAAACTGGGGGAGCTCTAGGGGGCTCCAGCCTGAGTGTCACCTCCTCCCCTCCCAACCCTGCCAGCTCGGGAAGAGAATCACGAGGAGGATGTAGAGCACTGGCAGGGGACGCCTGGGCCCACGAGCCGGATTTCGGGGTTCGGCTCCCTCCTCCTGTTCCCTGAACCGTGTCCCCTGCCCCCCCTAGTCCCGCCCGCCACTGCCCGCGCTCAGGAAGTTCCAGGCCTTGATTCGACCTGCCCCAGAAGGTGTGCCGGCGGGTCTTGCACAATAGCTATGGGAAGGGAGTGGAGAGGGCCCCAGTGCCAGGCGGGCTTTCCTCGGGACCAGCATATGGGCATTTCACTCGGGAGGCGGCTTGTGGGACAAAGCAAATCAGAAAAGGAAAAAGCAATAGTACTTTACAGTTAGCAAAAGACTGCCGGAATCCAAACCCAGAGACTGGCATGCACCAGCCCATGGAGCTGGGCGTGGGTGGGTCCCCAGTGCCAGGGGAATGTGTCTCAGTCTCAGGACCTCCCAAGCTGGTAGGGGAGACAGTCAGGTTAACAAGTGGGATCCCCAGATCCCAATCCTTCCGTGGCTGCTGGTGCTCAGGTCTGCTGATCGGCATTGGGACAAGGCCATCCACTTTCTGCTTGTTTACCCCTGGTAACTACTCACCACTTCTCCACGCATTTCACCCTGTTATTGGACAGCTCTTAGTGTGTAACTGTGACATACGGCAGAAAGTGATGATGATAACAGTTAAATTGCTGAGCACCTGTACCTCAGGCCTATGCATACCACAGGAGGTAGGTTTGAAATGGATTAAAGTGATGGATTAAAGGGGTTCATTCATGCATTCAGTCACTTAACAGTCATTCAGCAACAGGTGGTCAACACCTGGGTGCCAGGCCCTCTCCTAGATACTGGGGGTGGAAAGAGGAGGAAGTCCAAGCTGCCCTCCCCTCTGTGACCCTGGACAATTGGCATTACCTCTTTGAACTTCAGCTATCTCATCCGTCAAAAGAGAATGACTCTTTTTGAGGGAGGATTAAATGAGATAACAAAATGCCCAGCATAGTGCCTGGCACAAGGTCCGTCACCTCTCAATAAACAGAAACTGTCATTCTATTACTCGTAGTCCCTGCCCTCTAGAGCTTAGAGAAGCTTGAGGAAGGAGCAGAACATTCTGTTTTAAGGAAAATTACAGAGGGAGTAGGACCGGAACTGGAAGTTGAAAAACAAGACTTTTGACAGCAGATACTGAGAAACAGCATTCCAGGGAGTGGGGACAGCACAGGCAGACCCAGCCTTTGAAGGGCAGGATGCATTCATGCGGCAAAAAGTCATCATCAGGTGGAGTTGAAATCAGGCTGGTAGGGATCACTAATTTCCTTTCATACAGGTTGGAACTGAGGCCCAGAGAGGGAAGTGACTTGCTAAGGGCACACAGTGAGGCAGAGGGAGAACCTGCCCAAAGGCACCAGTGTCAGATTCTCTGAACAACCAGAAGCAAGTGATGCTGATAACCACATTTCATTTTTCCCACAGCCCAAACTGCAGGGTCTGCTCCGCCCAGGGAGGAGCTAGCCAGAGCTAGTTGGCACCTGGACACTGGAGGGGAATCTCCTAGGCCAGGCTGGAGGCCTAGGCCAGGCTGGGTAGAGATGGGGCCACAGTAGCCTTTCCCCAGCCTTCAGGGCACACCCAAGCCTGTGAGCCTGGAACCCCTACAGCCTCCCTACCATGCAAAGCCCTGACCCAGGGACCCAAAATTGGGAGGCAACTTGAGCATCCAGGTCTCCTGTTGCTTTGGAGACCTTCTGTCATATGTCACCTAATCCATTAAGCATACATGGCCTCATATGTGAGAGGCACAGGAGATGAGAGTGGAAAGGCGGCCAGGCGCAGTGGCATGCACCTGTAACCCCAGCTATTCAGGAGGCTGAGGCAGGAGAATCGCTTAAACCTGGGAAACAGAAGTTGCAGTGAGCCGAGATCGCACCACTGCACTCCAGCCTGGGCGACAGAGCAAGACCCCATCTCAAAAAAAAAAGTCAATGTATTGACTGAGGTAGTGGTAGGAGTACATATTTATCTAAATTTATCAAACTGTATGGATGCATCAAACAGACACATTTTACTATATCAAAATTACACTTCAACAAAGTTTATTTTATTTCTATTTTTGAGACAGAGTCTCTCTCTCTTGTCCAGGCTGGAATGCAGTGGTGCAAACATGGACTCAGTTCAGCCTTGACCTCCTGGGCTCAGGGCTTCCTCCTATATTAGCCTCGGGCTACCCCACTCAGCTAATTTTAAAATGCTTTTCATAGAGGTGGGATCTCACTATGCTGCCCAGTCCGGTCTCCAACTCCTGTGCTCAATGGATTCTCCTTTTTAAGCCTCCCAAAGTGCTAGGATTATAGGCATGAGCCACCATTTATTTTAAAAAGTGAAAAATAAATATGCAACCACCTACTATGTGTTGGGTACTATTGTAGGTATTGGGATATATTAGTGGGAGGACAGTCAAGGTCCCTGTCTTCATAAAGATTATAATCTTATGCTGGGGGGAAAATACAACAAATGAATAAAATGACTTCAGAGAGTAATAAATATTAAGATGGGATAGGGTGGCAAGTGGTGTTGGGGTGGGATGTCACCTAGGAAAGTGGACTAGGAAGGAGGAAGAGATGACGCCTTGGGACCTGATTGGCAAGAAGGAGCGTGCTTGAAGAAGGTTCAGGAAAAGCTGCCATTTATCATATGGACCACATACCACAAGAGGGCTTTCCTGCCTCCTACCATCCTCACAGCTTCTTAGGTAGGAATGATCATGCCCATTTTATAGTTGAATAAATTGTTGCGAGGAGTTTTTAAAAATGATATTCAGGCTGGTCACAGTGGCTCAAACCTATAATGCCAGCACTTTAGGAAGCTGAGGTAGGAGGACCACTTGAGTCCAGGAGTTTGAGACCAGCCTGGATAACAGAGTGAGACCCTGTCTTTAAATAATTTTTTTTTTTTTTTTTTTAGACAGTGTCTTAATTCTGTCACAAGGTGCCAGGCTGGAGTGCAGTGGTGTGATCTCGGCTCACTGCAACCTCCCCGGATCAAGCAATTCTCCTGCCTCAGCCTCCCGAGTAGCTGGGACTACAGGAGCGAGCCACCATGCCCAGCTAATTTTCTTTTTTTTGGTATTTTTTAGTAGAGACAGGGTTTCACCATGTTGGCCAGGATGGTCTCAATTTCTTGACCTCGTGATCAGCCTGCCTCAGCCTCCCAAGGTGCTGAGATTATAGGCGTGAGCCGCCGCACCTGGCCTTTAAAGAATTTTTTTTAAAAAATTAGCTGGGCAGTAGAAATACACAAAACAATTTTAAATTGTAAATGAGGGGAAAAAATAGCTGGGCATAGTGGTGCATGCTTGTAGTCTCAGCTACTAGGAGGCCAACTCAGGAAGACTTTGAGCCCAGGAGTTTAAGACTGCAGTGAGCTATGATCTCGCCACCGCACTCCAGCCTGGATGACAAAGTGAGACCTTGTCTCTCTCCTCTCTCTGCCCCTCTCTCTCTCTTTCTACATATATATATATATACACACACACACACACACACACATATGTACATATGTATATATATTTCATCGTATGCATACAACAGTCCTTATTCAAACACTGAAATAGGTAGGCACAGAGAAGGCGTGACAGGTAAAGGTGTGAGTATGAGAAAAAAAAGTAAGGTGAGTCCTTGTGCGGCCCAAGCCAGAGGGCTGATCTAGGACTTTCTGCAGGGAAGGAGGGGTGGGCCCTGGCATGGACTGGTGGGAGCCCAGATGGGGAGGCAACTTGATCATCCAGAACAGACTTTTTTTTTCACCCTGGAAAGAGTGTAAAGCTCTTTAAGCATTCTCAACTCTCTACTATATGTTAATACATCAGTTCTTGTTATAAAAAAAAAAAATGTTACAGTCTTTGGGTAGGGAAGGAATGAAGTTATTTGCTCTTTTTTTTTTTTAAGGAAAGAAAAATAAATATAGTCATCAGAACTATGAAGAATTCCAGGAAGTCTGACATCAGAGAATTTCTCAACTCTAAAATGCTGGAAACCCCTGCTCTTACGCTGGAGGCCATTTTGATGTCCACATGTTAGTTTTGAGTAAATATTTTAGTGGCCATTTGTGGATTTTATTTTTATTCTTATGTTTTATTTTGAGGCAGGGTCATGTTCTGGTCATTGCCCAGGTTGAAGTGCAGTGGCATGATCTCTGCCATCTCTGCTCACTGCTCTGCTCTCTGCTCCACCTCCTGGGTTCAAGCAATCCTTCTGCCTCAGTCTCCCAAGTAGCTGGGATTACAGGCACCCGCCACTATGCTCAGCTCATTTTTGTATTTTTAGTACAGATGGGGTTTCTCCATGTTGGCCAGGCTGGCCTCAAACTCCTAAATTTAAGTGGTGTGCCTGCCTCGGCCTCCCAAAGTGCTGGGAGTACAGGTATGAGCCACTGCACCCAGCCTTGCCATTTGTGGTTTTTAAAATGTATATCCTCTACCTGCTTTTCTGTGGGAATGTCTATCTTTTTCTTATTTATCTGTAAGAGCTCTTTCTATAGCAAGAATTTCCGAACTCTGCAAGGAAGGGGGATATCTGTTCTTTTTCTTTACTTCCTTTCTTTTTTTTCTTTTTTTTTTAAGATGGAGTCTTGCTTTGTCACCCAGGCTGGAGTGCAGTGGTGCAATCTTGACTCACCGAAACTTCCACCTTCC